AAATTGAATGGAAGTTGCTTACGTTGGACAAACGTTGGACCAACATAGGACTTCTGTCATGGTCGAGAAAGTTGACATGGTAACATTGGTCCAACGTTGGCATAACGTTGTTCCCCCAACGCCAACCATACAACCTTTTACCAGTGCTGGCCCAACATAGTCATGCTATCTGGGAAAGTTGTTTTAGATGATTAATAGTTGCTTTGAATACCGTACAAACGCTTTGACGTTAGCATGTACATAAAACATTTTCTGATAATATTGAGAGGTAAAATAATATTGCACACCTTCTCCTGCTGTCATAAACCAAGGACCTATATATATACTACCTGATAAAACTATGTACACGTATATCACGTGAAAAAAAACTCAATGTTTTATCGACACGATAGCACAGGTCTACGTCTTTTTGAACAATGGTTTAGGCCCATGTATTATAAGTTGATATAAGGCTTATAATTATAAAGCAAATTGTGTAAATGTGAGCATAGAAATGAAAGATTATACATCATTTTAGATATTTCTTTCACAAATCTCAAAAAAGAATTGAAAATAAGTTTCCGAGGGACAATTCAAGTTGCCCTTTATTTTCAACACAGCTGGATACTTGTAGTAGCCCACAATGCATTGCGGCTCATTCAGCAGTAGGTAAAGTAAACAGATAGCTAATTTACATGCAAATTTATTCTGACGTCAGAAAATCTAGTGGTCTCAACAGCTGTTAAATGCAAATTAAATATTTATTGGTAGTTTCTTAAGAAAGGTCTTGCCACAAGTATTACATACGTGAAGTATCTGAAAGCCCTTGCCCGAATCGTACAAAAGTTATGGCCAAGGTTTAATTTTTTAAAAAGTAGGTCAAACTCCAAGGTCAAAGGGTCAAAGTTCTTTCAATGAAAGGTCTTGCAACAAGTATTACATATGTGAAGTATTAAAGCCCTTGCCCAACTCATTCAAAAATTATGGCCAAGGTTAAAGTTTTTAAAAAGTAGGTCAAACGTCAAGGTCAAGGTCAAAAAGTCAAAGTTGTTGGTATCCAATGGAAGACCTCCTCACAAGGATTACATATGTGAAGTATGAAAGCCCTAGCCCTTACCGTTCAAAAGTTATGGCCAAGGTTAATGTTTTTTCATAAGTACAGAAATTTCCAAGGTCAAGGTCAAAGAGTAAATGTTGTTGGTATTTAATGAAAGGTCTTGCCACAAAGAATACATATGTGAAATATGAAAGCCCTAGTATCTACCGTTCAATAGTTATCGCCAAAGTACTACAGTAAAAGTTTGGAATTTTTGTGTAAAAGTCTGTCAAACTCCAAGATCAAAAGGTCAAATTTGGTGGTACCCAAAGAAAGGTCTTGTCACTAGGAATACACATGTGAAATATAAAAGTCATAGTTCCACCTAATCAAAGTTATGAGCAATGTTAAAGTTTTTTGTGACGGACGGATGGACAGACGAATGAGATTTAATGTCCCCTCGCTTTCGCGAAAGCGGGGGACAAAAATATTCTGCCTATAGATAGTTTTCGACTTAGCAAGAGTTATTTCCCGTTGGTCCCCATATTGGAGGTCCAAATGCTCATATTCCTTCATTGTTCAACTAATTTTAAATTTTTATATTTGCTCTTTTAAATTAGGAATCATTATTTCTCTGAAGTATATAAATTTTTGGAAGTCTCCTTTATTTGAAAAAAAAATTAATAAAGATTTTCCACCAAATATTTCTGCTACATCCTCTCAAACTTGGTAAGACAAAGAGGGAAAATTACCTAGTCGACCTCCAATATGACGGCCAACGGGAGGTAACTTTTGCTAAATTTTGGCCAGTCGAAAACTATCTATACAAGAGGCCCACAGGCATTATAAATCACCTGAGTATGATGCAACAACTTTCCTACAATTGAACTGGGTTTGTGTTTTAATTAAAAAGCCATGTCATTCACAATTTGATTGATTGATTGATTGTACGCTGTTTAACGTCCATTTTGAGAATTTTTTACTCATATGAAGACGCCACCACTTGCCGGTGGAGAGCTAAAAAATATGTCCTTTACTCGGCACTCAGTGCCATTGAGCAGTGAGGGATCTTTTTTGTGCCAGTACCCACTGCAACATGGGGTCTGGGTTTATGCGGTCTCATCTGAAGGACCAGTCTCCATGTCCCACAGTGGGATTCAAACCCGCGACAGAAGGATTGACTTCTTACCACGCAACTCTAAAACAGACACTCTAACCACTGCGCCACGTGGGCAACCACTCACAATTTGAAAGAGGCACCATTGCTCAATATAACTATACACTTAGCATACTTTAATTACTTAATACTTAGAGGCAGAGAAGGAACAAACATTTAGAGGCACAGGGCCCTCACTCTTCTGATAAATTGTACAACCTATTTGAAGCCTCTAAGTATCCTGAGTGTACATTAAGATAAAGCCTTCAGATTCAAAAAGTTAGTCATCATGACCTACATTTCAGATATAACACTCCGAGAAAAACCCAAGATGATTCTAAACCAATTAGTACCTAAGACTAGTTCATAGTGACCTACTAAGAGGAGGTCATGATGACCTACTTATCTACCTTTCAGTTCACATACTACGAGGACCCAAAATGCAACTGACAGAGTTTGACGATTCTAAGCCAATTAATACCTAAAATGTTTAATCATAACCAAATAATTACCAAAGTAGGTCACAATGACCTACTTTTCAGTTGACATACTTTGTGGACCCAAGATGCATCAACAGACAAAGTTTAATGATTCTACGCCAATAAGTATAAAGAATTTAAATAAAGAAAAAAATATCTAACCAGATCACAGAGACCTACTTTTCAATTGACATACTACATGCACCCAAGATACATCAACCAACAAAGTTTGATGACTCTAAACAGATAAGTACCCGAAAATATCTTAATATAGCCATAAAATCCCAGAAGTAGGTCAGAATTAGCTACATTTAAGTTGACATACACCGAGGACATAAGCTGTATCAACTGACAAAGTTTGATAATTCTTAACCAGATTAGTATTGTTATATTTAAATAAGGTAATAAAATATTTAAAGGTACTTGGACACAGATTTGAAGTTAATTTTTTCTCTATAATATTACTACTTATATATTTTAATAGCATTTCACACAAAAAATAAATTAAGAATCTTATTTCATTTAAAAGTTATTAAAATTTTTAATTTTTTGGCGGGTTTGATTGACACATCCTTGCACTTTCACAAATTTTAACTTTATTCTTAATCCTTAGGAAAAGTGGCAATCTTGTTGTGTATTAATGAAAAATATTAATACTATAGTCCAGAAAATTCAGAGTAGACATGTTAGAAAGCAAAACAAACACACAATAAATTGACAGTCCGTGCAGTTGAGGTGAACAGACTTTGGCATTTGAACGTACCCAGTGAATCGTAAACATTAAACAATAACAGAGCTGTGTCCTGTTTACAAAAACTGTGTACATAACACGAGTGTGCTCGATTTGCTAAACTCTGTACACAACGGAATGACGATACTCGTGAAGGAGTTTTGCTTTCTAACATTTTTTCTCTGAATAAAATAATTTTTCTGCATTGAAGTTTTAATATTTCTCATTAATACACAACAAGTTTGCCACTTTTCCTAAGGATTAAGAATAAAGTAAAAATTTGCGAAAGTGCAAGGATGTGTCAATCCATCGTCGCAAACCACGGCCAAAATGTACGATCCTCTCCCATTCTGGCCGTCGTTGAACGAGGAGAGAATTCTTTGTAGCTCATTAAAATATTGACCAACGCGAGTAAAGCATAGTCGGAAGATGAACTTTATCGCGACCTTTCAATATCCAATCGCAGTAAAGGAAATATTTCTTGTATACTGTTGACGTCAGTTGTGATTTCAATTACGATGGAAACAAAACTTGCCACTGACTGAATATGACGTCATAATAGAGAGGCGTAAATATTCAAGATTACGACACTTTTTGTGATCAAGCAGCCACGGGTAGGAGAGAGCTATATGCGGACTCCGGACCGTGGCTTGAGACGATGGTGTCAATCAAACCCGCCAAAAAAATTAAAGTTTTAATAACTTTTAAATGAAATAAGATTTTTAAAGTACCTTTAAAAACCTACTTTTCAGTCAACAAACTCTGATGTCTGGTGTTTAGTACCTAAAGTCAAAATGGCAATTCAAAACGGCAGACATCTAATTTTCTAATTATACCTTATTAATGTTGTTCAGATATAAGAAATAATGTGTGAATAGGTTACTGAACATATTGCATCTAAAAGAAATGATACAAGAACACTAATTCAGTTGTTTAAATTTGAAAGCTGTATTAATTAGCTCAAGGTGGCAATTCAAAATGTCAAACACTCGAATTTCACAAAATACTCAAACTGCTTATAATTCTGACCCGTTTTGCAGAAAATAAAATAAAACAAACTACAGTTTACTTATCTAAATTAATAGAATAATGTTTAAAAAAAATATTGAATAAAACTTTGAAGACACTGTTGTTAATTATAACTTATGATTTTTATGACATGGATCTTTGTTTTATGACTTCTTTTATTAAGGCAAACTTTTGACGACATCCACCAAGAACTTTTACCTATTTATATTCCAGTTTTTTATTAATGTTGAATTCAGAAGACCCAAATATAAATCAATTTGTCTTTCTTAACAATATACATGCAGAAAATCTACAAAACAAATAATTTTCTTATTACTAGTCTAAGTTCACTTCAGTTTGTCATAACAGTGAATTAAGATACTGATGTCAAAAAGGATGAACATGTATGATACAAGCTTACATTTTTAAAACTTCATGGACTGACCCAAAGAAGGAGATGTACCAGTTTATATTGACTATGGACTGGTTTCAACAACCCCTTGCTTTTGAGTTTTGACTATTCTTTCTACTCTGTACACAAAAACGATACAAATCTTGAATAATTGATAGTGTATTAAACCCCATCAAGCTTCCACACAAAAACAAGTGGCATGTTATCTAAGTATTTTAATTTCAATAACACTAAAAACATGTTTCTATAACAACAAAAATAACACTATGGTGTACAAAGTGTAAAAAATACATGTATGACTCGTCAATGAATTTAACATTCATAAATTCAGATACAAAATCTTTTTAATCACTGCAAGAACCTCGTAATATTTATATAAAAAGTAAGTTTTTGTGTCAGTATACATTGTAGGAATTTTTTTCTGTGCAAGAAAATGAAAAAAAAACAAACTAATCATCAAAACAAACTTATTTCTTTTAAAGCTTATACAAACTCTATCAAAAATAACAGTTGAGCAACTAAATGGAAGTAGGATGCAACATAACAGAAAGAATGCCATTCTTGTATTGGGGAATTAACACTTACAAAAACACTATTTCAGGCAAAGGGAAGTAACTCATATCACATCACTATTTAATAGTGAACTCGTTTCCAAAGTCATGTTTAGTATTAATCGTGAAGCCTTGACATTGTGAAGACCATACCAATAAAGTATAAATACAAACCTAGTTTATCCAGCATTATATTCAAAGAATACAACATCAACTACAGTCAAACCTTGTTACTTCAAACTCATTGTGTACAATATTTATCAGATAATGTAGGATTCAAGATATTGAGAATAAAATACATCAAGAGACGTTTGGGAGTTCCAACTCACTTTAGACATATCCATGGATGTTCAAGATACAAAAGTTCAATTGTGTTAAATTTTAACCTCCTCAAAATCTTGCTGACCCTCGTACAATGGCACGGTATATGACAGGTGTTCAAAATAGTTTATAATGTCAATCATAATTTGTACACAAAAGGTCTAGAGTATCTACACACATTTTTTTCTCTTTATAACTAAACATTTTGAGAAAATGTCTGTAAACAAATACCAGATAATATTAATATCACAGATATTGGAAACGAGAAACTGCTCAGAACTACAGTGCAATGCATTTACAAATTCTTGTATCACATTCAAGTACTTGGAAGATTACAATAGGTTTTTACATCTGACTAAAGCAAAATAATTTTAATCTCTTACATAATTTTAGAAGTTTAATTTAAAAAAAAAATCCAGTGATAGAAAAACTATGCATGATGAACAGAATATCTGCAGTCTTAATTTCACTGTATTATACTGTTAAAGTGTAAATTTCTTGCAGAAAATATTTTTTAAGAATTCTTTTACGGTATATAAAACTTTTTTTAATAGATAGTGTATACAATGTAAGGATAAATATATATCTGTAAAATACACACACTACTTCTTTTCCAGTTTAGTGCAACTGGAATCATAAAAATATTTATAATGAATTCCGTTTTTCGTTTTATTATAATTGCATCATTTCACTCAAACTGAATATTTTTCTTACTTTATATTTAAAAAGAAAAAAATGTTTTTTTTTTTTTAAAAATTGCTATTCAAATAACATGTAGCAAAATGGTAAAGAAGATGACATCATTCTAGTAACGCTGCTTTAATATTTTCTGAAAAATTCCAGGAATATTACCAAGAAACTCCTTTTTTTAAAGAATGTGAATTCTTGTAATACAATCTATTATATTTTGTAGCCAACAAAATTATGCCTAATGAAACAATTATTTAAGAGTTATATTAAGCAGGACAATGTAGCTATGAGACACTGAAATGAATGCCTTAGCAATGGACATTGCTGCTGACTTTGGAAAAAATACCCACAGACACCCCACAGACACACAAGCAGGTCAATTCTTAACTCTCACACTTTTATATGTCAAAGTTTCTGCAAGTAAATGTAACCATCAAGTCACAGTGATTGTCTAAACCAATATGGTAGATAAATTGATCAGCTGTTCATGTATAATTGATGACTAGTGTCCATTCTGGAATTCAGTGTTAGACAGTGGTTACTCTATAAAAGAGCCACCGCCACACAGTCGTGAGACGTATTCCCTGAGACGGTTAGTTTGTGTTTTGAGCTCACTTGGGACTTCTTCATCCTTGGAATGCATGGTACTCACTACCAGAATGACCTAATTCCTTGGCAAATCTGCAACAACAAAATTTCAATTTCTTTTTCAACATTTTATATAAAATCAATTTATCTCTATACTAAGTGAAATATTAATATTTTTTCTGTCATGACCTTTAAGTTGGAAATAACCTCAATCTCTGTCACATACTAAATACATGTATATTTCAAAAGAGAGTAATGAAGATGTGAAGATATATAAACTGTATATAAAAGTTTTAACCAGTTTTGTGACCGTTTTGATAGAAAGGCACTTTTCATAGAGATCCCTATGTGTTCATTTGTCAAATGGCCCAAAATAAGGGACAACTCTATAAATATCAGACTTACTGAGTAACTAGATTAGTAAACGGAGTGGGACCACAGGCACATATAAGTAGACTGGACTGATTTTTCTCTTGAGGTAATGAGGTCTTCATAAGATCTAGAGTTATCCTTCCTGTTCTACCATGCCAGCTGTCACTGGCCTCAGACAGAATGTACTCAACGGAAAATCTGTACAGAAACAAAAAAAGATACATCAACTAGTAAGCAGTTGTTTGCCATCACTAACTGTTGAATAATCATTGTTTATTGGTGATCAATGTTCCTGGATTTCAAAGGTCACCCTTTTCCACAAACTTGAATCCCTAATTATCCTTGCAAATGATTTATCAATGGATATGTTCAATGAATTTTCTATATACCAGTATACAAGTTACCCAAGAAATTATATTCCTATAAACCAGTAAAATTTTGATGCATAGGAACATTTTACCCCCCCCCCCTTCTTCTCCTGAATTGAAATGACTCTACAGTAGTATTTATAAGGTCTTTATTGACAATAGTCACATGTGAACATTAAAAGTCCTGGCAAATTCATTTCCTTGACAACACTATCATACAGTTGAAATGACCAGAACCATTCAATTCAATTGAACTGATTCAGATCACAAGTCAAAGTTAAACATTTACAAACTACTCAAATTGATTCTTCTTTCAATTCAATAACAAGTTAAGATCTATCCTTTTCATTTGAAATAATAAAGTTACAAAAACATTTAACAAACCTATCATGCTTCTCCGCTAAAGACTGTAGCTGGTCATACCACAGAATGTCTTCTTCCTTCTTATTGAAAAATAATAACTTAACATTTCTGAAAGAAAGAAAACATTGGCTAAACATTATATTCAATTTAAAGAGAAACATGAAAATGAGTTTAGAAAATGTACAAGAAACACATAAAAAAAATTTTATTTACAAAGTGGATTTTGGCCATTGTTACTTGTATTAATCTTTTATACAGTGTTTTACTTACACTAATGACTTAGGGTCCTCTATACAGTGGCTTATGATGCGAACCATTGGTGTAAAACCTGTTCCTGCAGCAAACATCACTAAATCCTGACACATAGACAGACGCTGCTCATCAAAGTCCCCAGTAAATGTACTGACCTCTACAAGGTCACCTGTAAGAAGGTCAAAGTGCAAATTTGTTTCAGATACAGCAAATGTGCCTACTGTTTAAGTACCGGTAAACAGGGCACCCAAATAACATTATGTAAGGCCCATCTGTATCACAAAATAAGCCACAGTTTTTACTTATATCCCATTTAAATTTAAGAAAACATTTTTTTAAAATTCAATATTCAAGAATTCAAACTTGAATTGTGTAAATGTACAATAATATCATTTGAAATCAATTTTTAAGAGAAACAAATGACTTTAGAATGAATGAATGATTGCAAGTTGTATTACATCCTGTATGAGAATTTTTCAGTCATAAAGAGACATTAGATATCAATTCTTTCAGATGGAAAGCCATGTATAGTAAACCTACCTGTACTAAGGGAATCAATCCAGGGAGTGAGTGCACCCCCTTTATAGATCTTGATCATCAGGTAGAGGACTCGACCGTCCTTGACCCTTCTATCCTGCTCCCCGGTCAAGGTTGGTAAAACAGCTGTATAACTCCTAACCACCTCCATTCCTAAAACATGCAAAATATTGCCTTAGAATGAAAAAAAAATCAAACTCAAAAAAACAACTGAAAAATTATTCATGTTTTTAAACATTTGCTCCAATCATCCAAGGATCATTTTGCTGACACAGAAAAATCTGTTTCTGAACATACACCTTTAAATGCCTGGATTAACTTCATTGACTATGGTACTACCACTGTGCAAAGCAGAAGAGGGTGTACATAGGCTTGCCCAATCCTTATTGTGTTATCCAATAAAATATGTTTTAAGTAAATGGCTGCATTAAAATATCTTGAAATCCATTTTCCTGATGCCTAGACTGTGTCTTGTGTTTACCTGAGACTTTATGCTTGATGTGGACATGGTATCCAATAGGTACACACATTCTGCTTCCAGTAGGAAGTGACAGACATAACAACTTGGAATCATGGGTAACTTGAGATACAGAGACAACAGTACATGTCCTGTAATCTATTTCTGGAATAAAAGAACTTCTGAACATAAAAAGTCTTTCCTTTAAGTGCCAAAAACCAGATTTATTTTTAACACATTAATTTTATAGATTCCTCATATTATCTAAAATTCTTCATAAACCAGAAGTCTCTGTCGAGACTGTAGCTCTACTGGTAGTAAAGTAGCAGTTAAGACTTAAAAACTTTACAAAAGCAATACATGTATATCTCTTTTCCCCCTAATGCATTACATCCTTTACCCCCTGATGCCACCATTTGACGCTATGCCCCATTTCCCTGATGCCACCATTTGACGCATACACACAACAACCCTAAATTAGCTCTGTGATTTCCCCTGTTTCTAAATAAATTCAGCTCTAAATGATAGCCAATCATGTGTATTACACATTAGGTAATGTTACTATAATTAGTGAAGTCACAGCTTCGTGTGAATTCACTTGAGATTTACCTGTGTGAAAACAATGGCACCCAGTCTGTTTACAAGAAGAAATTGGGCCTTGTCACAAGCAAAATTCAGCCTTAATATTGCATTTTATGTAACATACCTTGGATTGTATTAGCATTCACAATGTTTTTACATCAGTTCTAAAGTTGAATTTAATAGAAATAAAATTTTACAATGAAAATTAGAGGAAGAACATCATAGAATCTTTAACAAGAACAACAATGGTGGCCACAGATTTCCCATGCATTTTATGAGTACTAAATAATCTACTTTCAGCATTTTTTTTCATTAGGGCATTGATTTAGATAAAAAGATGTATTAATTTATTTTTCACAAGACTTTTGCAAGAAGTGCTCAACTAAATATATAAAATATTTATAAACATGCTTGCTTGAACATTATTGTGAAGTTTAGTTGGCTCAAGTCTAAGATAATTACCTATCATTATTAATCTATCTTAATTAATATTAAACAAAAAATAATGAGCCTTTTAATTGGTTTGGTATTATATTTTAAGTTGACTGGTATATTTTATAGAAAATTTCTCTCATAGAAAGGACAATATGATGATTAGTTGTGAAAAATTCATTTTACCTGGTTTCACCTATATATTGTTAATTGTAGATTAATTATTCTTAGAAAATTATATGACAATACTTAAGTTCAATCCATTCCCCAAACATTGATATATAATATGTGACACTTTGATGATGTTTAGGTACTTAATTAGCATGTTCTAAATGTAATGGTCAGTCATTTCAAGTCAGTCAAAATGGCTTCAGGGGGCAGTCAGATAAACACTCTAGGGAAATCGCAAGTGCGTCAAATGGTGGCAACAGGGGGAAAAGAGATATAGAATAATGATCCTTGATTAAATCTCTTTTTGAGGCAAGATTGCAATAAGACAACAACTGGAGGAGTAGCTTTTAATAAAATTTTACAGAATTTTCACTTTAAATTACTATGGCAACATAAATCAGCAAAATCAAAAACACAAAACTGATTATTATGTATCTCAGTGTAGTTTGCTTGTGTGCCAAGTTATATTAAAATCAGACCAAAACTGTAGGACTTTGAGTGTATTTCAAAAAATTTCTATTTTTGGTAACCACGGAAAAACCATGCATCGAAATCAAAAACCGATACAAAGAGTTATGTATCTTAGTGTAGTCTACTTGTGTGCCAAGTTATATTGAAATCAGACTTAAACTGTAGGAGAAGTAGCATTTTGAATGATTTTCACAAAAATTTCTATTTTTAGTAACCATGGCAACACCGTTCATCAAAATCAAAAACTGATGTACAGAATTATGTATCTTAGTGTAGTCTAGTTGTGTGCCAAAATATATTGAAATCAAACTAAAACCGTAGGAGAAGTAGCATTTTGAATGTTTTTAAAAGAATTTCTATTTTTAGTAACCACGTCAACAGCGTTCATCGAAATCAAAAACCGATACACTGAATTATGTATCTTAGTGTAGTCTACATGTGTGCCAAGTTATATTGAAATCAGACTTAAACTGTAGGAGAAGTAGCATTTTGAATGATTTTCACAAAAATTTCTATTTTTAGTAACCATGGCAACACCGTTTATCGAAATCAAAAACCGATATATAGAATTATGTATCTTAGTGTAGTCTACTTGTGTGCCAAGTTATATTGAAATCAGACTTAAACTGTAGGAGAAGTAGCATTTTGAATGATTTTCACAAAAACTTCTATTTTTAGTAACCACGGCAACACCGTTTATCGAAATCAAAAACCGATATATAGAATTATGTATCTTGGTGTAGTCTACTTGTGTGCCAAGTTACATTGAAATCAAACTAAAACTGTAGGAGGAGTAGCGTTTTGAAAAATTGTTTACAGACGGACAGACAGACAGACGGACGGACAACGGACGCATTACTATCGCATAAGCTCTTCTGGTCTCTGACCAGTAGAGCTAAAAATTGCATACATGGCACTAACTTTATTTTTTTTTCAACCTTCTTCGAACAGTCTTAGAGATATTGGATGTTTAAACTTGGTTTTTTTTTTTGAGATACAGACAAATGGACGAATGGAAAATACTAGCAATGGGTAATCTTCTGTCAAACCTAGAGAGTTCCATACCTTGGTTTTTGACTTTGACCACTTTGTTGTGTTTCTCCAGGTGTCTGCCCAGGTTTGACCACTGCTGGTCAGGTTTCTCTTTTGAGAGTACAATTTCTGTTTTTCCTGTGTCCTTGATGACCGTGACTGAACAATAAAACATAAAATACAGTATCTCCCAGATATAGCAAATACAGGCATCCAAGATACCTGTGTATCAAAATTTAAGCAAAATAGGCACTTCAATGGAACATTATTTTTTTTGAAAAATGCAAGCTTTTTGTCAATATTCATTGTAACATTAAAATGATTTCCAGGCATTTAGTTCTGTTAGAACATTTTTATTAAATTCAAATATTACTGAAAATCAAATGCATTATATGTACATGCAATTAATTATTATACAAAATTTTTGTGAAACTTCTGTGCAAAAACTAAACACTAATGGTGTATGACGATGTTTGGAAATACTTTATGTAACTTTATGTAACTGTTACATAAGTCAACACAAATTATCACTCACGAGAGTCTCCTGTCAATATAAAAATCTACCCAACACAGCAATAAATCAAACACACACAGTCCCCAGCTGACATAAAGTTATGCAATTCTATCGAGAAACCCCAAGTACCATAAAAATGAACAAATACGGCTGAGCAGAAAAAAGTAATAAAAGAGCTATTTGGAATGGATATGTTTATCTTAAATAAAATAAAAATAACTTCAATCACTAAAGTTAAAACATACATACCTTCATAGTTTAATGATATTGCCTCTGCAAGTTCTATAATGGACAAAAAAATAAATGTCATCTTAAAATCAATTTGTTATAAAATACCTCATGAATGTTGCAAAGACTGTATTTACTTTTAACTATATATGGACACAATATCAAAGAAATTCAGTACAACTTAATGGGCTATTTATGGTTCAGCTTAACAGCTTTTGATTTTTTTTTCTGAACTAAAAAGAATCTACAATAAAATGCAAAACACATCACATTAATTTATGCAGAAGCAGATGCATTTGACAAAATGTTACTGTCTGTACACACATCTCAGTGATTAACATAATTTTCCTTATTTTTTAACTAAAAAATAGCACAAGTACTTAAAGCTAACCACCGACATGTGGCATTTGACCTAACTTTGCCATTATGCTTAGTGTTCACACGGAAGTATGCAAAGAAATTTAATGTGCAGTAAACCAATTCGAATTAAACTAATTCGCATTAAAGTCTCCGTGTAAACGCGATTCAAATTGAATTCTCAGTATGAACAGGGTAAAAATTTCATTCCAATTTAAGACAACTCTAACCCCAAAGGTCCAAACTTTGGAATTATTGAAAAATGAATGGTTCTATTATGGTTCTTAATAAGAATTTATTATAGGTTTTATCTCCATGATTTGAAAATAATACATGAAAATTTTCTCACCTATATGTAAATAGTAAATATAATCTTCTATGTAGAGTGAGGCTAGGAATTTGTTATCACAATAGTCTATAACCACAAAATCTGACTTCATGGACTTCCATTTTGTATACACCACTAAAGTCACTGTAGTCTTTGTTTGGAACCAATCAAACCTGTTCACAAAAATGTAAGTACTTCAATCATGGATATCATAGTTTAATTGATATTTCCCCTAGGCACTACAAACTTTATTTTTTACTTTTCATATGCAAACGTTTACTTCAATACTCAAACTGACTTTATAAAAAATCTTCATTGCTATGGAGTGTACATCTTTCTGACTACCTGACCTAGGTATATTGTTTTAAGTTACACCATTACATACTTAGGAACTGCTGGTACTTGCGGTACTTTCATTGATGGAGGAGGCATGGGCCCTGTAAAGATAAAAGAATTGCTGTGTATTTATTACAACCAGGCAGGAATTTTAACAGTTACTTTACTTAAATATTTTTTTCTTTCATAAAACTCTTAAAAGCCATTATTTACCATTTTTGCATATTTAAAAATATTATTATAAAATTAGGGACTCTTTCGGTGGCAAAAAATACTCTCAGTACTCACCATTCTTTGAATCTGTAGTAAGGGATTTTCCAACAGAGTCTGGAAAAGAACAAAGAATGTTATTCAAGGGTTATGATATTTTTATTTGTAAAATACAAGTACTTTAAATAAGAACAGCCCAATACAACACTTCAAATGAAACTGACTTTATTTTCTCTATTGTCTCCAAATGCAAGTATTATTATCATGGTCTAAGACCCAATCTGGATTTCGGTGACATTGTGAATTTAATTAAACAAATGTCAGTACATTATCTCAAGGAAAAACTCAAAGTTATCTTATGTACAAGCACAGTGCAGTCCGGTTATTATGATGTTCATTTTTTCACAGTAAAATATTGTAATACCAAGGGCAACGTAATTAAAGTTCCCAATAAAAACATTGTTTTGAAAGCTGATGTTATTAGTTAAAGTATATTATTTTGTGAGTTGACCAAAATCTTGTTAACATCATTTAGCAAAAATTTTTAATAATATAGTATACACTTATCCATTGGGTGTGAGTGGGATAGCTGTTTTATCAAACCCGCAACAGAGAACTATTCCTGTCAAGGCCCATACCAAAAAAAGGTACAGATTAGGCATGCCTATTCTTGATAAATATAGGCACAAAAAAGGTATACCTAAAGTATACAAGTTTGGAACCACTTCTTCAAGTATAGGTAGCAAATTGGTACAAAAAAGGCATACTAAAGGTATACTTTTCAATGATTCATTTTTTTCTATTTGACATATAGGTACATTTTAGGCACACATAAAACATTAGATTGAGCAGTGAGGCATACCTAAAGTATGCCTATACATAGTATGGCATATAATTCTAACAGTCAGATAGGTACATTTTAGGTATACCTAAAAGGTGCCTACATATCAATCTATTAGGTACCTTCAAGGCTGTGCCAAAAGTATGCCAGAGGTATACCAAAAGTATACCTACAAGGTACCTATATTGTACCAAAAGCATTAATAGGCACATTTTAGGTACTAAAAAAGCACAATATTGGCACACCATCTAACAAGACCAGTAGGTACATTCCAGGCATACCTAAAAAGTGCCCACATATCAATCTATTAGGTACCTTCAAGGCTGTGCCAAAAGTATGCCAGAGGTATACCAAAAGTATACCTACAAGGTACCTACATGTATATTGTACCAAAATCATTAATAGGCACATTTTAGGTACTAAAAAAGCACAATATTGGCACACCGCATAACTAAACAAAAAGGTACATTTTAGGCATATCAAAAAATGGGCTTTTGTCGACAAATCAACCACAAAACCCTGGAGTTAAAAATTTCTTTCTCCATCAAAAGTTTTTAAATTTTTGGCCTAACATGAAAAATACATACATGTACTTATCATTCCTTGTGAATGGGGCAGGACTATATTAAGGAAGAATTTAACAATAATTATCAGGTTCAAGTAAAAACAAGTAAAAATTTATTATATGATGCTACATGAAAATATATATGAAAAATAACTATTTTAAATCCTCTCTATAAACGGAATCTATATATGACAAATCTCCTATATTTAAAAAAAAATTAATATTGTTACCTTTAACAAAATAATGATATTTGTAATATCATTCTTTGCAAGAAAAAAATAAACACACTTTTTCAGCATATACAAAACATAATTAATGTAATGTAAATACACAAAGACACCGTAAAGGTATTGAAAGTATACTCCATTTCATGTCCTTTTTTTTGGCCACACATTATTCACTTGCTGCATGTGCAATTCATGTAATCTTCATTACTTTCATAGAGTTTTTACCCAATTGGCACCACAGAATTTTCTGCACAGTAATAGACCTTTTACCAGGGTAAATACTCATTTCTGTACAGTTGCGATTTTCATCTGGACTCCTTATAAAAATTTATCCTCCATTTGAATGTACCACGTAATTCCTTCTTTCATGCCATTCCCTTCAATTCTGAAAAAGTTGCTGCTCATGAGTCTTCACTTTGAAATTATTTTCAAAAATATTAAATCCAATGTGTGAATCTATAGGGGAGGGGTCCGGGGAGTCTGGAACTTCCTTCCTACTTGCATTATGTATATATTATGTAATTAAATGTATATATATACTTAATCAGTTAAAAGTGATTTGGACACCCCCCCCCCCCTTACCCTGTTACGATCTGCATCTGAAATTCCTAAAATTTACAATGGAGTTTGAAAAGTGGTGATTAATTTTACTATATTTATATTTTTTTCAAAATCAGATTAGATTTCATACTTACTGACAGAACTATAGTCTTTATGCATTTCCCCCAAGTTTAGAATGACTACAGGGGACAAGAATTTTGCTGAAAAAGAAAGTTTGTTCATGAAATTATCTGACATTATTATTAAAAAAGTTTACACTAATTTGTATACATAATATTTTTTAAATATAACACTGAAACATTGTCACTCTGAAATAAATTATGTGTGTCATACCCCCCCCCCCCCTTTCATTTTCCCTGGCATGAGCCAAGTGGAGAGATGGGGTTTAAATGATTTTATGTAAACTTATAACATAAATTCAAAATCAAATCAGTTAATTTTGTTATACTATGTTTTATAAATGCTGTAATTTTGATACTTTAAATTAAAACTATTACATGTTAGAACCCCCCCCCCATTTTTTTTTTAAATAGTGCCTTTACTTTATATTTCAAATTTCATATGCCAATGATTAAATTTTCACACTGATCATTTGAATTTCTGTTTGTTATTATCGCCATGCTCATGCAGAGGCTACTGTACATAACCTGTTCCCGCGATATTAACACGTTAATTACTGGTATTATTTTTTTTTAAAAGACTCTGAAACTGTGAAACACTTTTTATGTCTTGTTACACATCAGGTTAAACAAAATAATTATTATTTATATGTCTTCACTTCATGTGTAGGCTGTAGCACTGGCTACACGGCCATCTTGAATCAAAACAAACCAAAAATCTACGGTACAATTACCTAGAACTTCGTAAAAATTACACTTGATATTCACATTCTAATGCATTCTTTACGTGCACAAATACACTAACAACAAGCAGCATGAAAATTTACACTGAAATAAAGACTTACCGAACTATAATTCTCCGATTTCTTTTTGAGGCTTTCATCTCGGCAAATTTTCAAAACATCTCAGAAATGTCCGCGCTCTCCACTGACCAATCGTAGACTTCGCAGGAGTCACGTGATTTTATTAAAATTTATTAAATTATTCATAAAATATTTCGTGTAAACAATTTATAATTATAACAATGAACATTTAACAATTATTTAATGAAGCCCCAACTTAAACTGAAAGCCGATTGCGAAGAAATCCTTGAAATTTAGTGTGGCTATTTTGGGCAAATAATTGAACCGCCATCTTGACCGCCATTACTATTTTGTGTTTGTTTACATAACAAATCACCCTCAAATTGATTAGGCCCCCTATTTTTTTTTTAATTATTCATAATTTTCTTTCATGTTAGATTTCAACTATAAAATCTTAATTAATGTAACTGACACCAGAGAGTGAAACAAACATCGAAATACATGTATGTAAATTATTACAGTATACAATCCATAAATGCCTAGTATGTGAACATGGTGAATAATTATAAATGATAAGCACCTGTATTTTGTGCATCTTGGGGGCTATTATTTGTGTGAAAATTCTGTAAATGTACACTTTTTTTTGCTGCTACTGCCTAACTACCGGCAGAGACCTATAAACTACCAGTATATAGGTCCCTGCTACCGGTAAAAGTTAAAGCATCTCTATTTATTTCCTGTAATTTATTCTTCTGTATTTTACCCATTCATGTTGAGCTGAAAAATCGTATGAAATCACCGTTTTGTCATGTTTGTGGTTTGTGGAGAACTACATGTGATACACTAACAATTTCTGCAGGGTGAAGGTCATCCGGTATTAACACCGAATACTGAGGAAATCGACATCGTTTTGCATTCAAAGATAAACAAAGTCTATTTCAAAATACACCAGTAACTGGTCTAATGGTTATAAATTCTCACCCTATAAAATTAATCTAAACATCCCAGACATTTTTGTAGTTACAAAATGTACGAGAGAGAGAGAGAGAGAGAGAGAGAGAGAGAGAGAGAGAGAGAGAGAGAGAGAGAGAGAGATGCAGTGATCGCGTAATGGGACCTCTACTGGACATAGAGATGTGTATATAAATTTTATTAATGATAATTTATCATAAAAAGTTGTATCTGTTACAACTAGAGGGGTTTGCTAGCAAACCTGGTTTTGAAAAAAAAAATGTATTTAGTTTTTAAAACGTTTTATATCTTAATAGTTTATCAGTTTATTCACATAGTTAAAACACTCATTAATCATTAAATTATTTAAGAGCAAAAGAATTAAAGAATTATACTGCAAGAATAATACAGAGAAACATCGTAACTAAGCAGATTTGGCTGTTGGTTACATGACTTTGTGTCCACTTCACTAGGTGCATGGACTACACCTGATCTCTCTGTGGATTACCTGTGTATTGTATGCGTTCAAGCGGAAAGTGATTTCCTGTCTCTAATTGACATATTTCACAGTATTGCAGAATTAGTTTTATAAATGCAAAAACTTGATAAAATGACATGTAAAAAAAAATAATAATAATTTAGCAAGTGTGTGTGTAGTGGGGGGGGGGGTGTTAATGGTCAATATAATTGTATAGTGTTTATAAGACAATCCCCTATGTCTTAGAGAATGTTAATCAAAGTTGCTAAGAACAGACACTCTTTAAGACAAACTAGTGCATATTTTAAGAACAGAAATGGATCTTTACCTTTTATTTTCCGTAAGAAGATCAATTGAATAAATGATAATTACATATTTGGCATTTGAGAGTAACAATGTTATCACCCCTCCCCATTTTTTCTTTCCACAACACCGCTATATATTATACTGAGGACTTGAAATAATGATGTGAAATCTGAAGTATAATGTTATTAAAAATTAAATGCACAAATTGTTGAATGATAATTCAACCCCAGCCCCCTACAACCCACCCCACCCACACCCAGATACAAAGAACCAGTCATCTAAAAAAGTATTTAAATT